ACTGTGTTTCTCTTCTTTTGCGTCGTTGTTTTGGGGATTGCTTCTAAGATGCTTTCAGTTGCAGCTGCAAATGTTCCTGGACATACAATGGAAGGGAAGTTGACATGCAGATTGCCTTCCAGATGTAGGTAACACTCAGGGATGGGCTGCTGAGGGTTCCAGGAGGACCTCTAGCTAAGATTCTGTGCAGTTCGGAGAACCCCCAAATCCCATTCCTGGTTGGCCCCTCCCACCTCACCTCGCCCCTCCCAGGAGTCTTCACACGGCCCGTTTTGGATGCAGGTAAGTGCAGGGTGCGCGCGGAAGCTCGGGGAGGGTGAAAAACAGGCCTACCGGAAGTTCGAGGAAACAGGGCCTCCAGAGGGCCTCCAGAGCCTGGGGATGTTGTTTTCGCCCTCCCGGAGGCTCGAGGAAAGCCTCCGAAGCCCACAGAGGGCAAAAACGCCCCCTCCACACCGTGGTGCAGGAGGCTGACTAGGCCACGCCCACCATGGCCACGCCCACCCAGCAACTGGGCAGGGAACCCCTTGCTTAAATTTTTGAAGCCCACCCCTGGTAACACTTCTCCAGGAACCTGAAGGACAAACCGAATTGCTGAGAACCTCTCCATCAAAGGTTTTTATGACCAAGAAATATCTTATTAAAGATAACCAGCAGGGGGCCTCTTGTGTCAACCTCCGGCCAACAGACTGTCCTCAAACATATCTTGCCCATCTTGTTATTCTACTGTTCAGTCACCTTCTCTTGATGTCTTCTCCGTGGTTCAGTTTAGCCTCTCCTATTCCACCCAAATGCGACATATGGCCCTCAGCCCCAAATAGGTTGGGTGCCCATTCATTAGCCAATTTTCTTCAGTTCTGTATTTTTTTTTCCCCCTTAGTCACTGCACTCAGTTTCACTAATGTGAAAGAGGATCCTATTTTCCAAAGCGCCAGAAGGCCGGACGAGAAGCAATGGATGGAAACGAATAAAAGAGAGATCCAACCTAGAAGTAAGGAGAAATGTCCTGACAGTTAGAACAATTAATCAGCGGAACAACTTGCCTCCAGAAGTTGTGAATGCTCCATCACTGGAGGTTTTTAAGAAGAGATTGGACAACCATTTGTCTGAATTGGTGTAGGGTTTCCTGCCTAAGCAGGGAGTTGGACTAGAAGATTTCCAAAGTCTCTTCCAACTCTGTTATTCTGTTCTGTTAATGTGTTGTACTCATTTTGCAAAGTTCTGGAGTTACCAAGGGATGCCTTCCTCCCAGACCAGTTTTTTTTTTTTTTAATTTGATTTATATGCCACCCTTCTCCGGAGACTCAGGGCGGTTTACAGTGTGTTAAGCAATAGCCTTCATACTTTTGTATATTTTATACAAAGTCAATAAGCTGACCACAAACTGGGTCCTCAATTTACCTACCTTAGAAAGGATGGAAGGCTGAGTCAACCTTGAGCCTGGCAAGATTCGAACTTACTTTAATTGCAGACAGCTGGTGTTAAATTACAGTGCCTTGTCCGCAGAGCTATCCAGGCTCCTTTCAGTTATCCAGGCTCCTTTCAGTTAACAGAATTAACAGAATAACAGAGTTGGAAGGGATCTTGGAGATCTTCTAGTCGAACCTCCTGCTTAAGCAGGGAATCCTATTCTATTTCAGACAAATTGTTATTCAACCTCTTCTTAAAAACCTTAAAAACCTGTGGGTATTGGAGCACCCACAATTTCTGGAGGCAAGTCGCCCCAGTTCTTTCAGATCATCTTTCTCCACTCCTCCTCCTCCTCTTCCTCCTTTTTGTCCCCCTTAGCAAAACTTCCATATTTTGGAGCTAATTGGTCCTGTTTTCCTCATAGATCCATTTCTCAGACACCGCGTGTTTTGAGCATCTCCGTGGATCCAAAAATCTGCTCTCTCTGAAATATACCGCAACATTACATCATTTCCACACGGAGTGACAAACTAGCAACCTCTTGATCCTGGAATCCTGGAAAACAAGCGCCGATGAAAGCTCATCATGTTTTCTTTCTTTTTTTAAACGCTCCAAAGGGTTTTATTTTATAAAAAGAAGTGGAGTAATGGGTAACGTTGGCCCCCAGGCGATCCATTGCTATTTCAAGATACAGCTGGTGCGTGTCTGAATATACAAAGATGGCTTTTCAAGGAAGATGAGCAGAGTTGAAAATACTCCCCCCCCCCCAGACAGATGCCCAGTTATTTGTCTGGAGTAAATAGTCTTTAAATATTGACTCTTGTCCGTCAAGCTTTTTACCAGAAAGAGAACTGGCCAAGTCAGCAGGTATCTGGAACCTCAAAACAGAACTGATACGTGCCTCACAAATAAATATTGGGGAGATTCAGGCTTCCAAACAACCTCTCCCAAAGGGGCAGGATGAGGTCATTTGTGGGACTTGGCCATCTTAACCAAGTGAAAATCCCATAACGAAAAGCTGAGGGACTTTTCATCACACAAAGTGACTTGTCTGAAGGAGATTCTCAGTCATCCAGGTCGTATTTGTCTCAAAAGTGCTTTTTCAAAAGGCAACCGGACTGTTTTTTCCTTGGGAAAGAAGAAGGAGAAAATGTTTCGCTTCTCATCCAAGAAGCTTCATCGGTTCTTGGATGAAAAGCAAAATTTCTTCTTCTTCTTCTTCCTCAAGGAAAAAACAGTCCAGTAGTTGCCTTTTTAAAAAAAGCACTTTTGAGAATGACTTGCCTGAAGTTCTTTTGTTTCCTTCAGAACCACAACTAATCACAATTATTGAACTTCTGCGTGTCGCCGTTTTCACATGGAGGGCTCAGAAATATTGCCGTCGTTACCTCACAACTCCGCTTCAGGCTATTTCTGAAGACACAGAAAGAACCCTCAACTTCATATCGCTCCTGGCACAAATTCCTCATGCTGTTTGGGTGCACGACATGAGCCGTGCCCAGTTTATATATCCGTAGCCTTTATCCTTCCAAAAATAAAGAAGGCACAGGTCACAAAAGAAAGTTATCAAGCCCCATTTTAAAGGAAGATTATTCCTTTCATTTCAGCTTTTTGCTTCTTATTCAAGAAACTTGAATGTTTGTTGACTTGAATGTTTTATTTTTATTTTGTTTATTTTATTTGTTCAACTTGTATGCCGCCTTTCTCCGAACACTCAAGGCGGCTTACAATGTATTGAATCTAAACCAGGAAATGTGGATATAATACCAGATTAAAATATTATACTTGAATTTGTTTTAAAACTGGCTTAAGCAGCTCTTTTGGGGAATCCCACTTATAGGGACTTTTCAGTAATGGGTTTTGTAGTTTCAGAATTCCTGTCTGATGCTGTTACTACAGTAGTCGTAGTAATTATTATTAAATTAATGTATTGCCCAATTCCTACTGACTCCAGACAATGAATATCTTGTTTAAAACTTTAAAAAGAGAGAGAGACAGACAGACAGAGAGAGAGAGAGAGAGAGAGAGAGAGAGTAAACATAGGAAGGATGACAAAGACTGGATGGAAAACAACCTACACAGTCTAAAGGAGCTTCCACTGTTCTTCACAATTCTTCTAAACAACAACTGAGTGGGAGTCACTTAAATCCTGGGGGAACCTCATTCCAGAAGGCAGGAACTGCCACAGAAAAGTTTCCCAATAAATGGCATTGTTTAATCAAAGGAATCCGGCGAGAACGCCAACTGTACCAAATCAAATCAGCCAGGCAGATGCTACAGAAGACAGGTAATTATTCAAGTATGTCATGAGTTTGGGATACTCATTTTTTTATTTATTTTTTTAGAAAAAAGTTGAAGATGCTTTTTTTGATTTATCTCCACATTCCATCATTTGGTTATTGCTTCAGACACCTTCCTGCGATTATTTGGAATGGATGGACTGGCAGCCTGGAATTCACTTAACCCCTGTTTTGTATTTTTTTATCAATGGAGATGAAATTATAGAAATCTAGTTGTTTGCTCTATTTGTAGCTGGAATTCGAAGAACGTGCTTAAGAAATAGGGTCAAAGTCCAAGAACATACATTTGAGAGATATGTGTCATGTTCTTTGAGAAACCTTAAAGCAAAGCGTATCAGTCATCAAAATCAAAAAAAAAATGAGAGGGAGAATTACATGCAACGGACAATTTGAGAAGGACAGAACATAGAATAATAAGAGTTGGAAGGAATCTTGGAAGTCTTTTCCAAGATGAAGCCTAGTAGAAGATCAACAAAAGAGGGTGGAAATGAAGTTGACTTCTGTCTTCTAGTTCTAATGCCTAGCGTCTTGCAAGACATTTTATTATGACTTCTAAAATAAGAGATCACTATGCACCAGCAAAGAACAGAAGAGAAAAATAAGTTCTGAATAATACAACCAAAATGAGAAAATACGACAAAGAGCAAACTTCCCCCCCACACCCCACTCCGTTCAAAACAACCGATGAAGAATAACTGGAGACCTTATTACATTTCATGACATCCCTACCCATTTTCCAGAAACCTTGGCTACCCCAACTGAAACCATCAAGATGAAATTCCTGGCTTTAGTTACTCCTTGACAGCAACTTTGGGTATCGATGCCAGCAATGTAACGCGGGAGAGGGAAAAAGGATGCTTCCATTCTCCTCGGATTTGGAAATTTCTCTTGGGCAGATCTTTTTCCACCTGGAGCTGGGAGGAACAACGTCCCACTTCCCACCACAGGTGGTTTTACGGCAGAATAGAATCCGTGCAAAAGAGAGAAGAAAGTTGGGAGGACCCATATCTTCCCATGTGGAATTTCAGATAAATCAATGGGTGCGTTTTCTGCTGGCTGCGAGATCGATCTGGAGCTGAGAAAGAGTTAACCAAGAGAGAATAAAAGAGTTTGGGGTGGAGAGGGAGGGAGGGAGAGAAATGTTTGAGCTGACACTTCATCTGGGGAGGCGGATCCTCCTGAATCCTGATTGGCCTCAAGTTCCATCCCAAAACTCCACCACCCCCCTCTTTTTCCCCTTTTCCTCTCCCCCCTCCCCAATTCTCCTCCTCCTCCTCCTCCTCCTCCAGCTCTCTGCTCCCTGGGGAGGAGAATGCAGAATAGTGAGCGAGATCAAAAATAAACCTCTTATGTCAAAGCAGAGGAAAGAAAGTATAAATACCGCAGCTCTTTGCAGTTTGCTCTGCAAGGAGCTACTCAGGGAGAGCAAGTCCTCGTCCAAGGAAGGAAAAGTGGGAGGGGAGGTAAACCCAAAGAGAGAAAGAGAAAGAAAAAGAGAGAGAGAGAGAGAGAAATTAAGAATTTCCCCCAAGACTCTTTCGTCTCTCTGTGTGCTTTTCCCAACTGGACAAGTTGACTTGCTGGTGCTGCTGTTTCTTGTCTGGTTTTGTGACAGCTGCTTTGCAAAAAAAAAAATCCAGGAGGCCCTGAGGAAGCTGAGCTGGTGAAGAAATCACCGTTGGGGCAGAAAAGGATTTTTCACCCTTTGCACCCTGGGCAACTTTGCTGCTAACTCAGCTGATCCCTTATTTTTCCCTCTCCAACCTTTGTCTCCTTCTGTCTCTCTCCTTCGTTTCCTAGTCTTACGTTTTGCAGGATTGCACCCTGTCTCAAAGCCAGTTGGGCATTTGCTCCTCCGGTGAATCTCCATCTCTCTCTCTGTGTGTGTTTGTGTGTGTGTGTCTCAACTTGTCTTCTGCTCCTTCTCCAGCTTCTAGCATCTATGCCACTTCCTCTTCAGCAGCAATCCTGCGCTAGCTGGTTGGCAGCTCTCTTTTCGCTTTTCCCCTTGCTGCTGTTTCAAAATGCCTGGGCATTATCTCTCCAGAATAGCGATGGCGGTGTTCAGGAGGTGGTGCCCGCCTGGGGTGATATGCCTCCGGGCAAGGGCAGACAAGTTTCCTTCTCCATCACAGCCTTTGGAAAAGTGCTCCTGTTGCAGCTGGAACCCGACGCCAGCTTCTTGGCTCCTGGGCTGAAGATTCAACATGTTGGTAGAAAGGAACCTGTTGGGTTCTTGGCTGAGGAAGAGGAGGAGGAGGAGGAGGAGGAGGAGGATGTGAAGCTCAGAAAATGCTTCTACTCAGGGACTGTCAACTCACAACCAGACTCCCTAGTGGCTGTCAGCTTGTGTCAGGGCATCCATGGCTCCTTCTTTGTGGATGGAGACAAGTACATCATCCAGCCCCAAAGCCATGGAAGCGGAGAACCCCTGATGCAGGTTCATCAGCTCCAGAAGAGAAGCTGGTCCAAAGAAGCTGCTAAGGACAGGCGAGGAAGGGGAGCCCAGCTGGAACCCAACAGCACCACTACTTTCAACCGAGCCAAGAGGTTCACCTCCCAGGCTCGTTATGTGGAGACCTTGCTGGTGGCCGATACCTCCATGGTCCAGTTCTATGGGCAAGATCTGACGGTAAGGGAGATGCTTTTCTACTCCTCCTGTATCTTTCCAGGCTCAGGACTCAGACAATGCATGCAAAAACTGTTTAGATCGAGAAATGGGGGGCATTCCTGTTGCATGAGGTAGCAACCTTGATGAAATGCAGCCGCGTGTTATAACAGTTGTAAGCACTCCAGATCTTGGAACGTTCCGTACTACAAACCACATCGGTCTTGAATTCTCAAGGTAGTCCTCAGCCTCCCTCTCCCCTACTACGAGGGTAGTAAGTTTGATTCACTCCACAGGGCAGTTTTAGCAACTCACAAGAGAGTGGCTGAGATTCTCCAAAACTGACAGGACTAGGTAGTAGTAGTAGTAGTAGTAGTAGTAGTAGTAGTAGTAGTAGTAGTAATACCCAAGAGAAAGACGCAAAGAGGACCAGAGGTGAAGGTACGGACAGGGTCACTGCAGGACAAATATCATGTCTTTTAAAGCTTGCCTTTTATAGAAGAGCAGGATTCCGTATTAACCGAGACTCGGAGTAGCCACGGAGCAATTATGCCTCCCTCCCGTGTGCTGTAGAAACCGGGCCGCATTTTCTTCCCAGTATGATGTCATTTGCATCCTTGCATTCTCCTTCTCCTGATTGGCATCCCTGGGTTGAGGCCAAGAGGCATTTCGGATAAAGTCACGTATGCTGAAACACGTTACAAGAGAAAGCTTAACACCTAGGTGTTATTTTTTTGGCCGAAGTCCCGGTGGGGGCTCCAGTAACGCTGAGCTCCAGCGTGACTATGGAAATTGGCTACTCCCTCCGCTGGTTGGCAGGAGGAAGAGATCTGCATTTTTAGCCAATCTCTATAGATATTCTGATTTGGCCTCCTGCTCCTTGTCCCTGGGGGAAACTGTCTAATAGAAGCTGAAAGCCCTGTGAGTTCTGTAAAAGAAAGATAAGACACTTTTCTCTCTGTCCTCTAAACTTTTACTTTAAAAAAAAAAGTTTACTTTTAAATCCCTTCCCTTCCTTTCCCTCCTGTTCCAAAGCAAAAGACTTTATAGATTTTTGGAGTCTGTATGATTGCATGTTAATATAATACCGTTCAGTAAATTGTAAAGCGGAAACACTTTGATTTTCCTAATACTTAAGGATCCCAAACTTGTATTCCGTACCAAACAGCTGACAAGAGAACTGTAAAACAATTTAACAGGACAGGCATGGATGTGTCATATTTTGAGGTCTTCTGAATGAATGTAAGTTCTATCATGTTGGACAGTTTAGGGCCTTCTTGCTTAATCCTTGGCACAATTGCTTAGTTTGTTTGGAAAGAAAGCAGGCTAGACACCCAACCATATGTTAACTTTCAAGTCCCGAAGAGCATGTTTTGTGTCTGGTCTGTCTGTCTGTCTGTCTGTCTGTGTCCGTCTTTCTCTCTCTCTCTCTTATCTCCTCTCTCTTTTCTCTCTCTTTTCTCTCTCTCTCTTCTCCCTCTTCTCTCCTCTCCTCCCTCTCTTTTCTCTCTCTCTCACTCTCTCTGTGTGTGAGAGAGAGAGACAGAGAGAGAGAGAGACGGAGGGAGAAAGGGAGGGAGGGAGGGAGGGAGGGGAGAGAGACAGAGAGACAGAGAGAGACAGAGAGAGAGATTCTGCTTATTTTTTCAGATCCCTGAAAAAAAAAATACTAAAACCTGACTAATTTCATGCCAGTCTCCATGAAAACTGCATTCAAATTTACTAGCTCTAATTGGAAAAGTGTTCCGACTGGAATTTATGTCCAAAAAATGTTCTGACTGCTACGTATCAGAGAATATATTAATCTGTTAAGGACACTACATGAGAAGAAAGGGAGAAACTGTTTCATGCAAAGCCCGCTAAGTGCATTTGTGAAATTTACTGGCTTTGCTTAACGTTCATTAAAAGATTTTAGGATGGGAATAATGGGGAAGGGGTGGTAGACATGATCAACTTGTGGGGAAAAAAAATAGATAAAAAGAGCAGCCAAAATATACATTGTCTTTCAGTTTAGCAATGGAAATAGTGTTTAGTGGGTTCAGGGGTTTTGTTGTAACTCTACCCTTCCACTTGAGTACCATCTTAGGACATCCATCTTCTTTAGAGAATGTGATTTGTAAATGGCTTAGGATGGTCAACACATGGTCCCCAAACTAAGCATGTACCATACCCGTATACAAATCAGACAAATGGTTTTCTACTCTCTTCTTAAAAACTTCCAGTGTTGGAGAATTCACAACTTCTGGAGGCAAGTTGTTCCACTGATTAATTGTTCTAACTGTCAGGAAATTTCTCCTTAGTTCAGTAGTGGGTTGCTCCCGGTTCGGCCCGGTTCGGCCGAGCCGGTAGCCGGGACAGTGTAACATCACCGCTACTGGTTCTCTGTGACTGGGAGCTGGACCCTCCCGCCCGCCCCCGCTTTATTCCTACCTTTATTTCTTGATTTTTAGTCCAGCTGATAGGTGCGGCAGAGTGGATTGCTGCACCTCAGCTGGCCAGAAACCCAATGCGCTTGTGCATAGCTCAAGTTTGGCGCAGGTGCGAGCAAAGCGAGCATATGCGCGGCGATCGCGTGCAAAGCATGTGCATGAAGAGAACTGATAGTAACACCGGTTGGAACCCACCACTGCCTTAGTTCTAGGTTGCTTCTCTCCTTGTTCAGTTTCCACCCATTATTCCTTGTCTGGCCTTCCGGCGCTTTGGAAAATAGCTTGAGCCCCTCCTCTCTGTGGCAGCCCCTCAAATATTGGAAGATGCTATCATGTCTCCACTGGTACCCTCAGGTGCTTTGGAGAATAGCTTGACTCCCTCTTCTTTGTGGCAGTCTCTAAGATATTGGAACACTGCTATCATGTCTCCCCTAGTTCTTCTTTTCATTAAACTAGACATAGCCAGTTCCTGCAACCGTTCTTCATATGTTTTAGCCTCCAGTCCCCTAATCATCTTTGTTGCTCTTCTCTGCACTCTTTCTAGAGTCTCCACATCTTTTTTACATCGTGGTGACCAAAACTGGATGCAGGATTCCAAGTATGGCCTAACCAAGGCCTTATAAAGTGGTATTAACACTTCACATGATCTTGATTCTATCCCTCTGTTTATGCAGCCTAGAACTGTGTTGGTTTTTTTGGCAGCTGCATCACATTGCTGGCTCATATTTAAATGGTTGTCCACTAAGACTCCAAGATCCCTCTCACGGTTAATACTATTGAGCAAGGTACCACCTATACCGTACCTGTGAATTTTGTTTTTCTTACCTAAATGTAGAATTTTACTTTTTTTTTCACCATTGAATCATATATAATGGATGAAAGAGCGTTTTAAGTATCACATTTGTTACACGACAGCAATGAATCTTGGGAAAGTTGGCCTTTCCCATGTATTCACATGAGAATTGCTGTATTAACATCAACCCATTATTGAGTTCCTTCCTACACCGGTCCTTGAATGAGCACAAAACAAGGTAGCTGTCCCCACTGCTTTTATTATGTTTGTTTTATAAAGGTAAAGGTAAAGGTTCCCCTCACACATACGTGCTAATTGTTCCCGACTCTAGGGGGCAGTGCTCAGCTCCATTTCAAAGCCAAAGAGCCAACGCTGTCGAAGACGTCTCTGTGGTCATGTGGCCGGCATGACTAAACGCTAAAGGTGCACGGAAGGCTGTTCCCGTCCCACCAAAGGTGGTCCCTGTTTTTCTACTTACATTTTTCATGTGCTTTTGAACTGCTAGGTTGGCAGAAGCTGGGACAAGTAATGGGAGCTCACCCTGTTACGTGGCACTAGGGATTCGACCCGTTGAACTGTCGACCTTCTGATCGACAAACTCAGCATCTTGGCCACTGAGCCACCATGTCTCTATTTTTTTTTAAGACACCACCAAATGTTGACTTGTTCAACAAGCCACGACCAAATAAAACCATTTTTTTTTTAATTTGATTTATATGCCGCCCTTCTCAGGAGACTCAGGGCGGCTTACAATGTGTTAAGCAATTGTATTCAGCTCCATATATGAAAGCCCATTGCTGATTAAACCCACATTTGCTTAGCTTCCTCTTAGCCGATGTCATGTTCTTTCAAGCCATTCAAACTGCTTATAAACACAACCTAATTCATTAATCCATGCTTCATTAGTTGTATACATACACGATGCATATTTACATTTTTAAAATATAATTACAATGAATGAGCGGAGGCATCCCGGTGCGTTCTGATTCATAAATGCACACAATTAGAACTCACACGGCTGCTATTTGGCAGAAGTAAGCTAACAAAAGGGGCAATTGTTGCCACACATTTTCAAGTTTCAAACGACACATGCAGTGTTGGGATTCAAGTAATTTAATTTAACCACAGGTTCTCTGCCCTAATGATTTCTTCCAACAACCAGTTTGCCGAACTGGTTGTTGGAAAGTTAACAACCGGTTCTCCCGAAGTGGTGCGAACTGGCTGAATCAGTGGTGGGTTTCAAAATGTTATACTACTGGTTCTGTGGGCGTGGCTTGGTGGGTATGGCATGGCTTGGTGGGCGTGGCTTGGTGGGCGTGGCAGGGGAGGGATACTGTAAAATCTCCATTCCCACCCCACTCCAAGGGAAGGATACTGTAAAATCTCCATTCCCTCCCCAATCCAGGGGAAGGTTACTGCAAAATCCCCATTTCCTCCCAATCAGCTGGGACTCGGGAGGCATAGAATAGATGGAGGGCGGGGACAGTCAGAATTTTTACTACCGGTTCTCCAAACTATTCAAAATTTCTGCTACCGGTTCTCCAGAACTGGTCAGAACCTGCTGAAACCCATCTCTGCACTGGACACATGATCAAGGGGTGTCCAACTCGATTTCATTGAGGGCTGCATTAGGGTTGTGTTTGAACTCAGGGGACCAGGTGGGCGTGGCCACGGTGGGCATGGACAGCTCGACATCACGCATGTCAGGGTGCCTGTGGTGGCCAGAGTGCTTGCCAGTGAAAACAAGCTGCTGAGCTCCGTTTTCGCTGGCAGAAGCATCACCGGGCTGGCTGTTTCCAGAG